TCTGCTCTCTTCCTGAGATTTCTCCTACTTATTCTCTCTGCCTGGCAGCTCCACCTTTCCCTTTCTCCTGCTTAGTTATTGGCCATTCAGCTCTTTCTTAGACCAGTCAGGTGTCTTCGGCAGGCAAAATAACACAGCTCTACAGAGTTAAACAAATGCACATAAAAGAATTCAACACGTTTTTGCATTATTAAACAAATATTCCACAGCATAACCTACTTTAACACATTTTAAACTAATATTCCACAACAGCTAGGGATATAGTTCAGTTTGGTAAAGTGCTTGTCTTATCTTGGGTTCAATTCCCATTACCAGGAATGATGGCACATGCCTGTAATCTCCACACTCAGGAGGTGGAGGCAGTAGGATCTGAAGTTCAAGATCATCCTTTGGCCAGGAATGGTTGTTCAGGCCTTTAATGCCAGCATTCAGGAGGCATTGGCAGAAGAGTCTCTGTGAGTTCAAGGCCAGCCTGGTCTACATAGTGAGTCACAAGACAGCCAAAGGTATGTAGACTGTCTCAAAAAAACATTGTTTGCTAGTGGCAAGTTTGAGGCCAGTCTGGGGGCTATGTGAGAATATGCTACAGCTTGGGGTATAGCTCAGTGGTAGAGTATTGCCTAGCATGCATGAAGCCCTAAGCTCCATCTCCAGCACCACCACAAAAAAAATCAACCAAACATCCAAAACCCATCTCCCTGCTCCTCCCCCTCAAAAAAGAACCACACCACCACCAAGGAAAACACTCAGTAGTAAAAAAATGCTGATTTTCCTAAAATGAAGTCAGGAAAATGGTACTTCTACCATGCAAATGTTAAGTACATCCGGATAACGATGTTATCTTCCAGAAAGATGTTAGCCTAGTTTTTTCATATGTTAAATATGGGTGAAAATCATTTGTTCAGGAATTTTGGAAGGTTCAAAAAAGATAACAGGTGAAATGTAATTTTGGATATTTACATATTGTAAATATGTTATTTTGTTATATATGTTATTTTGTGACAGAGTCTCTTGAAGCCTTGGCTGGCCTGGAGCTTTCTATTTAGAACTGGCTGGCCTCAAACTCAGAGATCTACTTGCCTCTGCCTCCTGAGTGCTAGGATTAAAGGGTGTGCTCACACTAACCCTGAATTCTTTTGATTGAAATGAATGAAAATGGAAGGTCACACAATCTTTCCCCATTTAGTTTTAAATGTAATTCTGTGTTGAATTTATATTTCTTTTAATCAGAGGCACTCACAGGTAACTAAGAGATCTAAGCCAACTTTAAAAATTATTTCAAATTGTCTTTAGGGCATGCGATCCAAGCAATGAGAGACAACTGGTTAAATAGCCTACCCATGTTTTTTAAGGATTTATTTATTTATTTTATTTATTTATTATGTATACAGTCTTCTGCCTGCATGCCAGCAGAGGGCACCAGAGCTCATTCAAGGTGGTTGTGAGCCACCATGTGGTTGCCAGGAATTGAACTCAAGACCTCTGGAAGAACAGTCAGTGCTCTTAACCACTGAGCCATCTCTCCAGCCCCTCATACCCATTTTCTTTTTTAAAGATTTATTTATTTATTATGTATACAGTATTCTGCCTACATGTCAGAGAGGGCACCAGATCTCATTACAGATGGTTGTGAGCCACCATGTGGTTGCCGGGAATTGAACTCAGGACCTACTGAAGAGCAAGCAGTGCTCTTATCCTCTGAGCCATCTCTCCAGTCCCAATAGCCTACCCATTTATTAACAATTATTTTATTTGGAGGCTCTGAAGATTTGCTAAATAGTAATACCTCATTCTAGGGTTGGGAGATGGCTCAGCAGGCTAAACCTGAGTTTGATCCCCAGAACCCACAGGGTAGGAGATTTGATTTCCTAAAATGTCTTTTGACTTCCACTTATGAGCTATGGCATGTGCACACCCATACACATATACACATAATAAATGACTAAACAAATAAATGTAATAAATTTAAACAAAACCCTTTCCTAAGCTAGGCAGTGGAGGCACACACCTTTAATCCCAGCACCCAGGAGGCAGAGGCAGGCAGATTTCTTTGAGTTCTAGGCCAGCCTGGTCTACTCTTATTTCAAGACTGCTCTCTAGGCACACCACCATTTATAATAGTGTGATAGATATATTTCACTGTGAATGATTAAAAACAGTAGGTGACAAACACAACAGCTCCCCTAAGTTTGTTCAGGAAAGACACTTTTGCAGGTGGTCAGATACAAAAGCACAATGAACAAGACTACAGAAAGGCATCAATTTCAGAGAACTGCATCAATTTCAGAGAACTAAGGTATAGGAGATCAAGAACAGGGTGTAGTTAAGTTCCATACAATTTAAGGAAAAAAACTAAACCCAAACTTTTTGTAAGAAAGACAGTATGACTGGGCTTGCAGGCAAAATACCTATACACATAAAAATGTAATGGTTTATTCTAGGTTCTACATTAAAAAATGTTTCTCTTTTCTGCCCCATCATCCTGTCTTGTTCTCCCTTCCATGGTCCCCCTTCCTTCACACACCACTACCTAGTTTCCAGTTATGAAAGAAAATGTGGTAATTGTCTGGACTGAATAACTTAACTATTTTCCGGCAAATGACACAATTACCACCATAATCTTTATGGCTGACAAAAACCTCCATTGTGCAAATATACCACCTTCATTCATTCATTCCCCCCATTTACTTGTTGATGAGCACCTAGGTAATTTATATCTTGATTACTGTGAATAGTGCTGCAATAAATACAGACATACAAATAGTTCTGTGGTATGATTACTCAGAGTCCTTCAGGTATCTAGGTCAAAGGTACAGTTGGGTTATATGCCATTTTTACTTTAGTGTTTTGAGGAACCACAGTGACTTCCATAATGGCTTCAGTTTATATTCCTACCAGACATGTATAAATGTTCTTTCCTCACAACATTATGATAATGGCAATTCATAGACTGGTAGGATGGAATCTCAATGTAGTTTAAATGTGCATTTTCCTGAATCAATCAGGCATTTGTGTATCTTTGAAGGAAAAGATACATTATTCATTGCAGTGTATGAATGCCAGGGCGATGTAGAGATCAGAGGATGACTTATAGGAGCCAGATCCCTCTTTCTACTATATGAATCCCAAGGATCAAATTCAGGTTATCAGACACGGTGGCATGACTTTTATTCACTGAGCAATCCTAACAGGCCTATTCCTGAAAATTAATATGAATTTATTTTTGTTTTTTTTGAGACAGGGTTTCTCTGTGTAGCTTTGGAACCTGTCCTGGCACTCACTCTGTAGACCAGGCTGGCCTCAAACCCCACTGCTCTGAATGGAAAATGGGAGGCCCATTTTCTTAACTGCTGAGCCATCCCTCCATTTCTTTTGAGAAATGTTGGTTCAGTTATTGACTGGATTATTTGTTCAATGTTTATATTTCTTTGTTTGGCGATTTTATAGTTTTATTAGCATATATAAACTACACCTAACAATGTATTTATTGATAAGATTTTAGTGATTACCATTATTAGTTTTAGTTTTTCAAGACAGGGTTTCTCTATATAGCTTGGCTGTCCTGGAACTTCCTCTGTATAACAGGCTGGCTTTGAACTCAGAGATTCACCTGTGTCTGCCTCCTGAGAGCTGGTATTAACGGTGTGTGCTACCACTATCACCACCTACCTAGGTGACTATTTTTCTAATAACGGAAATGAACTGAAAGTAAACCAACTATATTTTTATTCAATTGGGGAAAAACCCCACAGTGCAGTATCATGTGATGGCTGTATGGAACTGAAAGACTTGGAGTAGCCTGAAGGAAAAGAGGGGGTGCCGAGAAAGTTGTAAGAGTTTAAAACTTAAAAATTGGAGTTTCATTAATATTGCTAAAACAAAATTTTTAAAATTGATGGTAACTGACAAAATTTCCTTGTGTTAGGTACAGAAATAAAAGTCTAGAGTATTACCAAGGCCACTATTTCTAAATAAGCCTATCCCAAAGATTTTGAAATACATTGCTGGCAGGTATCAGTACAAAAAAATTAACCTAATGAATATGACTCTTGATTATGATTGCAAAGGTTATACTACATAACAAGTGACCATGGAACTGGCTTTTAGTATGTTTCAAAGAATGCTCATATACATCTTACTTTAAATTAAACAGACAACAACAACAACAAAACCCAACTAACCAACCAAAACATTCATGATTGAATTTTACAACAATTAAGAAAATACTTTTGCTAGCTGTATTTTTTTTTTTTTAGTACTGGAGTGGTGGTGCACGCCTTTACACTTAGCAATCGGAAGGCTGAGTCAGGTAGATCTCTGTGAGTTCAAGGTCAGCCTGGACAACACAGTAAGTTCTAGGACAGCCACAGTATACAGAATGACCCTGTACCAAAATTTTAAAAGAAATTTTATGTGTATGGATATTTTGCCTACATGTACATCTGTGTACCACATGTATGCCAGAATGGGACATCAGATTCCCTGGCACAGAAGTTGCAGATGATTATGAGCTATCATATGGGTGCTTGGAATTGAACTTGGGTCTTCTGGAAGAGCAGCCACTGTTCTTATCAGCTGAGCCATCTCTTGCTAGCTTGTAAAATAGTTTGAAATTAGTGAGCTTTGAAGTGTGTTTAAAAAAAAAAAACAGTACAAGATGTATTCTGTAGATAAAGATCTCAGTCTATAGGAAAAGCAGGCAGGCTTCCATGTAAAAAGGAAAACAATTCCTCTTGTTATTTGATACAATCTATAGATTTCTATATCAAATTATTTATTATAAAATAATTCCCAAGAGTGTTTAACAATACAACTTTTATTAAAAAATAAGTAACATCAAAACTGTTCAGAAAAACTATATTCAATGTAACCAAAATAAACAAACACCAAAATAAAAAAATATACATCTCTCTATATATATGTGGGCAAGAAACAAGTGCATTTTTTGGTCCCAATATTTTTAAATATATTATTTTTATCTAAAGGAATTGCATCAACGGCTAAGAGGATAACTACTAAGTGAGTAGCAATGTAACTTAAAAAACTTGTTTTAAGATCTGTAAGGGGAGTTTTGTTCTTTGTCTTTGAATTCCTGATCCCTAAGACGTTAATGATAGTCTCAAGATAGACAGAGCATGTATTAATGTCTAATGAGCTGAACAAGTACCACATATGTCTTTAAATCCAGCACTTGGGATGCCGAGGCAGATGGAAATTTGTGAGGCCAAGGTCAGCCTGATCTATATAGTAGAGACCCTTTCTCAAAAAAAAAAAAAAAAGAAAAAAAAAGAAAGAAAGAAAAGAAAGAAAAAGAAAAAAAAAACAAAAAAAGAAAAGAAAAAAGAAACAACCAATAGGTAGTTGCATGAAATCTTTAGAAAATTTTAAAGAAATTTCTAGGCATTTTAAACAAACACAGAACAAAAGATTTTATCAGAAATTATGAAAGTAGACATACAAAGTAGACATCAATAAATTTGGTGAATGTCAAAAATCAAGAATTTAAGTACTATCACTACTGAGAACTCTTGGAATACTGGCTAAAACTTTAAATGGCAACATATGTAACTTACTTTGGAGCTTGAACTTCACAAAGTTTGCTTTCCCAAGAACATGAAAGTAATCCTCACTCCCTACATAGTCAGGTTTTTCATACACCTCAGACTGCATTCAAGCTTAGAGGAAGATTAAAGGACTGCAGCCAAAGTGATAAACTTGAACTTGGATGTTAAAGCACTTACTTGATGGGCTTTCGTGACTAGAATCAATTAATAAGCCTAAACTTAACCAAAGCCCCCAGTGGGAAGTTGTGCTCAATTTGGTGGACCTTGAAGTCATTGATGGCCAAATCAATATCAGTCTTATGGAAGGCCAATCAGGTAGGAAGGGACTCTGCCTAAGAACTGATAAATTCCCAAGGCCACAAATTGAAACAGGTCTCACAGTCAAACAATTCACATTCCTTGGAAAGAGAACAGGCATCAGTTGTGTCCAACGAAGGGGGACACTGTCCAGGAGTACACTGGACATTTTTTGAAATTTCTGTGTTGCTTCTGCATCTGAAAAATAGGAAAAATAGAACAATGACAGACAAAGAGTGAAGGAAAAACATCTATCTGACCAGAAAGATTTATAAGAAATTAAGAAGCAGACAAAACAGACAAAAAGAAATAGAACAACTACACTATTTGATATGTAGTATTCTCAAGGCAAGTACAGCAGAGAAAACCACAAATTATGCAAAGGAAAGCAAGAAAAGACTATAGCAACTAAAGTTCTTTTTCCAGAGCTAACTGGAGAAGAAAAGGACATGTTAAGATTTGTTAACCTGACACAAAGATAAGGTGGAATAGGAATCTACTGCCATCTGAAGCTGAAAAGAGCTGAATAATGAGAGCTAGTGTTGTGGGTTTTAATTGCCTTCATGAAAACATTTCAGAACTTTGAACTTAGGAAACTGGATTTGTAAAAGAAAACACTGCAGAACTTTGAACTTAGGAAATTCCAACTTGTCTTGCACCAGGTTGCACGAGCTCCATAGAGCAGGAATCTATTTCAACAAGCCGCTTTAAAACAAAAACAAAAACAAAATACTTTAATATTTTTCATTTCTATTAATGATATATTTAAAAATTGCAACATTACTAAAATCTTTCAAAGTAACTTGTGTTGAATGAAAATTAAACTTACTCAGAAGTGGATTCAGAAGTTGAGGTACTTTCAATAACTGAAATCAGAGAAGGCTTTATGTTTACAAATGTAATACACAAAGACTGAGCATCAATTTAATCTGTAAGAGATCACACTAATAGATCCAAAATACTGGCTCATACATCATAAATTCAAAGTAACAGACACATATACATACCATTTTCTATTACAACTTGGCAAGTATGAGTTTTACGTTGATTTAAGTGTTTAGCCATATGGTCTAAGCCAGAAGTATCAGCTAGGAAGTCACATTTAAGGCACACTAGAGTGATGCCCCTATGAAAAGAGAGAAGAAGATTAATAAGAAAGATCATATGTGGCAATCCATACATAAATTCATAATTGTTGTTCTATGTAATAACTCTTGATTTCTATGTTATGAGCTATTACTGTCATTTCCCTATGTATCTAAAATGTTTCTCAAAGGGTTAGGTTGTAGGCAGTATTTGCCTTGCATGCGTAAGGCCCTAGATTTGATCACTGGCCCTAAGAAGAAGATTCTCAAGAAATTGGCTTAGCCATAGCTATATTATGCTATCATTTAGTGCTTTATAAACTGTACATGTTCAATCTTTTGCTAAAAGATTGGCATCCAGAGACCCAAAGCAGTCTTGGATCCACTGGCAACTTGTATAACCTGTATAAATCAGAGATTCCATGCCTTGGCTTATCTGCCAAGCAAGAAGATAATTTCTTGCATATCTTCATATTATTACAGATGTATGCACACCTGAACAAAACACAGCATTATTTTTCATACAAAATTGAACAAAATATCTCTAAATAAATATAAATATTCAAGAGGTCTAAAAAGATTTCAAAATTATAAATATCACAATGAGGTATCATTTCATTCAATTCTGAATGGCTTGTATCAATATACAAAACATAACATATGCTGGTGAAGATAATGGAGAAAGATCATTTATACAGTGTTGTTAGAAGTGTACAGTTGTAATACTACGGAAAACAGAATGAAGTCTCTTGAACAAACTAAAACTAAGCCCTAGGATGTTCTCTATACATCAAATTACTAGACATTTTGGATACAACAGCAAACAAAACAGTACAGTTCATGAAACATATAATCTAGTGTATTTAAGTCTGAATAAAGTTAGAAGAGATGCAAAGACCTTAAATTTAGTCATTTAATATGATTATTAGTTTAACATCAAAGCATATACATATTTGATATTTTACTTGTGTTTTGTTTGCTTTGAGACAGGGCTTCACTATCAGCCCAGTGGGTCATTGAACTCAGGATGCTCCTGTCTCCCTTCACCAGTGCTGGAATTATAAGTGTGAGCCACCACAACTAGCTTCATCATATAAAACACCTTACCTTTATAGGTCTAAAACCCAGTAGTATACCTTATGCTGAGTTTTTTTTCTCTGCAGTTCTGGTCTTAACATCCTGTTTTATATTTAAGACTAGGTGTTATACACATAAAAAATGTCCTTGAACAACCAAAATAATGTTTTCCGCCCCCAAACCACGCTTTATTCCTGGTTTCTCTTATGATGCCATTTCCTTGCTTCTGAGGTTCAAATAAAAACATTATCTCAACATTTCAAATATCCAATAACAATTCCAAATATCATTTACACTGTACTAAAAACTGGGGGTTTTACATCTATCTTCTAAACAATGACAGAAACAACCCCTAAAGGATAGATGTTATAATGAGGATGGGGTCAGATTTAGTAACTTAGCTAAGGCTACCCCCATGTTTGAAACTTAGCCCTTGGATTCCAGAACCCATTTTCTGTTTTGTTTTGTTCTTTTTTAAATAGCCCATAGCTTTGTTGTAAGGTTTCATATATATTTTTTTAAAACAAATGGGCTTCCTTTAAAAAAATAATTTATTTTTATTTTATGTTCATTGGTGGTTTGTCTGCATGTATGTCTGTGGGAGGTTGTCAGATCCTGTGGAATTGGAGGTACAGATAATTTTGAAGTGCCATGTGGATGCTGGACAATTAACATGGGTCCTCTAGAAGAGTGGCCACTGCTTGTAACCTACTGAGCCGTGACACTAGCCCTTCTGTTTTCTTTTGGGCTTTAAAAAAAGATTTATTATCTTATTTTTGTGTATGAGTGTTTCTTTGAGACAGGGTTTCTCTGTAGTTTTGGAGCTTGTCCTGGCACTCACCCTGTAGACCAGGCTGGCCTCGAACTCACAGAGATCCACCTGTCTCTGCCTCCCGAGTGCTGGGATTAAATGTGTACACCATCACTGGCTTGTGTATGAGTGTTTTGACTTTATGTATGTATGCATACCACATGCATGCTTGGTGCTCATGGAAGTTAGAACATAAGATGCCCCTGAAACTAGCATTATGAATGGTTGTAAGCTACCATGTATAGGCGCTAGGAACTGAACCTAGATCCTCTGCAAGAGCAACAAGTGCTTTTAACAACTTCACCATCTCTCTGGTCTCAGCCCAATCAATTGCTAAATAACAGCCTTAACTATTCTGTGGTTTATGTAGCTACAACTCACCATATATATTCCTTCAAACTGATCTTCCTTCCATACCCGTGATTTTATTCAAAGCATTGGTTTTGACTTTCTCAATGTCTTTCAAAGTAAATTTAATTAATTCCTTAGAACTATTTTTGGATTAAAAAAAATCTATCTCTAAGTTCAAACTTATTTTGCCATATTTTGATCTAATACATGAACTTTGTTCTCCATTCAAACTGTATTACTATTTCTTCAATGTGACTCAGAAGTACCTGTATACTGTCTCCTTTTTATTTCTGCACTTCAATTCATGCTTTCTTCTTCATGCATCTTTTAAGTAGACACCCCCTCTTCTGAAATAAGCAATCCTCACTGTATTTATGAAAAATTTCCTGTATTTATGTTCACTTCCTTATATCCTCCCAATAAATTGTACATGGTTTTGAAACAATGTCTCACTATGTAGCTCTGGCTGAAGACAAGTGCTACAATACTCAGCTTAAATTGTACCTTCTTGAATGTTGATACCAAGTCTTTTTTATCATTGATACTTTGTGTTACACATGTTAGATGAACAATAAACAGCTAAAGAATGAACAATGGGCAGTGGTAGCACACACCTTTAATCCCAGTATTTGGGAGGCAGAGGCAGGCAGATCTCTGAGTTCGAGACTAGCTTGGTCTAGAGAGCAAGTTCCAGGATAGCCAGAGCTGTTACACAGAGAAACCATGTCTCGAAAAACCAAAAGGAAAAAAAAAAGAATGAACAGTTCAACATAAAATAATATTTTAAAAATCCATTTTCTATTACTTAACAAATATTTCCAGTAAAGGTACTACCTAATATACTTCTTTTTCTAATTCCTTGAATCAGTCATGTTTTAAAAATAATTTTTTTGAGACAGGGTTTCTCTGTGTAGCTTTTGGAGTCTGCCCTGGCACTGCTCTGTAGACCAGGCTGGCCTTGAGCTCACTATCCTGTCAGTCTCCCTAGTGCTGGAGCCACAGGCATGCTTCCCCAAGTGCTACAACGATAAATATATGTACTTTAAGATTGTGCTTTAATTATGTGCATGGGGGGTATATGCACACATGTATGCAATTGCCTGAAAAGGCTAGAAGATCCCTAGATCCCCAGGAGCTGGGAATTAAACTCTCATCATCTGTAAGAGCAGCAAGTACTCTTAACCCATGATCCACCTCTCTAGCTCTGATATATGTGTGTATGTATATATTTTCTAAATGGCATCAAACTTTCTTTTATGAGCTACTGACATCATGGATACATATTTTTTAATACATAGTCTAACTTAACTGAGTGTCTATTATGTGCTAGGCACAATTCAACATCTGACAACGTAGGTGGGATAATAAAAAATGTAGTAAAAAAAACTATCAGAAAAGAGTGAAAAATTCCACAATACGTACTTGATTCTGAATAAAAGTAGAATCAATACCTTTACAAACAGTGAGCAAACATTCTTTCTGTATAGTAAGAAAGAGTATACTTTCTTTTTCATAAAAAGTAAAAGTGACAGATGGCTAACAGATGGCTCAGTTAAAAGCACTGGCTTCTCTTCCAGAGGAACCAAGTTAGATCCTCAGAACACACATGGCAGTTCACAATCATGTGAAATTCCTGTTTCAAGGTATCCCGTGCTCTCTTCTGGCTTCCATGGGTACCAGACATGCATGTGGTGCACAGACATAGATACAGGCAAGACACCCATATACACATAATAAAGTACATTTAAGAAAGAATAAAGCTGAGATTTATAAACACTATATATTAATTTCAAATATTATAGCATTTTAATAAACTTACTCCCAGTATTGCTAAAGAGACCTTTATTTTCATTTTACTGTGTAAATGCATAAAAGTTTGCAACTCAGTATCTGGCACCACTTAAATAGAGGTTAGTCACGATAGGCTATTCCTTTCTTTGTTCCAAGAATATAACAACAGGGGCTAGAGAGATGGCTCAGATTAAGAGCACTGGTAACTCTTCCAGGGATCCTGAGTTCAATTCCCAGCAACCACATTGTGGCTCACAACCATCTACAATGAGATCTGGTGCCCTTTTCTGGCCTGTAAGCAGACACGCAGACAGAACACCATACACATAATAAATAATTTAAAAAAAGAAAAATAAAAAATTTTGCCTGGTATTGGTGGTGCATGCCTTAGCACTCGGGAGGCAGAGGCAGGCAGATCTCTGTGAGTTTGAGGCCAGCCTGGTCTACAGAATGGGTGCCAGGACAGGCTCCAAAGCAATACAACCCTATCTTGAAAAACCAAAATCATACATACATACATACACACACACACATACATACATACATACACACACACACATATACATACACACACACACACACACACACACACACACACACATATATATATCTCTCAAACATGATTCTTATCATATCCAGTGACAATCATTTAGATTTTCAAATTAGGTATACCAACACCAGGTTAAAAATGTAATTACAACTTTTTAATACAAGGAACAGAAAAGGATCAATTAATTACCTGTGAGGTCTTGAATGCTTCTTATGAATACAAAACCGTTTACTTGGATGGTCATTATGAGAGCTGACAGATAAAAGACAAAGAACATTTTATTGATTAAGTCATATTACTTTTATGGGCAAGTTTTCAAGTCTATGCTTAATTTCTTAATTTTGGATAGAAGTTAATGACATAAATAATGAGATAATATTGACCCTGGAATGGTCTGAGGAAGGACCCATCCATTAATATATTAAAATACTAAGCTCCCCTTTACCTGAATCAATGTGATGGCATAAGAAAAAACTATTTGGGAAGTAACAATGCCATAAAAGTAGAATCCTTACAAGTAGAATTTGTGTCCCTTATAAAAAAAAAGAGACCCAGGAGAACTAACTTGTCCTTCCATTGTACAACATAGTGAGAAGGTGCTAGGAGGGATGGGTTTTTCCCAGAACACTTGTTCTTGTTGACACCTCTTATTTTTTTTCTCATTTCATTTTTCCTTTCCCTTCTTTCTTTTCCTTTTTATTCTTTTATTAAAAAAGACTTATTTTTTATAAGTGTTTAGGCTACACGTATGTCTGTGTACCACTTGCATGCCTGGTGCCCATGGAGGCCAGAAGAGAACATCAGCTCCCCTGAAGCTGGAGTTGTAGCTATAGACCACCACGTGTATGCTGGGACTAATTCTAGTTCTCTGGAACAACAAGCACCAAGCGCTCTTAATCACCAAGTCATCTTTCCAGCTCAAAACAGGTACTTTAAAAAAAAAGCTGAAATTAAAGATCTCTATATAGATCAGTCTAGCTCAGACTCACATGACAACTGTCTACCTCAGCCTTCTGAGTGCTAGGATTAATTAATTTGTTACCATACCAAGCTTTTCCTGAACATTACTATGCAACATCACTCTTATTTTCAGTACATAGTAGGTCACTTTGAAGGATTTGGTCACATATTTTGATGACTTTGGCTTTTTTTCTCTTCCCTTGGTGATCAGTCTGTCCTCTTTTTTTGCTAGCAGTTCATATATACTTTTGACTTACTAAATCCTTTGTCTTGCTACCATAACATTATCTCATATATAAAATATTTATTTTAATTACTTATTGACATAGCTCTTGGGGCCTTGATCTTTCTTTTCTTTTCTTTTTTTTTTGAGACAGGGTCTTACTATGTGGACCAGGCTGACCAGGAACTCACAAAGATCCTCCTGCCTCTGTCTCCAAGTGCTGGAATTATAGGCATTTGCCTTCAAGGTTTTTTTGGAGTGAGGGATTGAACCTAGGGCTTTATGCTAGGTACATATGCTAGGCAATGGTATACCAGAAAGTTACAACCCAGCTCTGAAAGGTAATTTTGACTGACACCCACCGTACATGTTCAACTTACCTCATATGATTTGTAAAGGCTTTGTTACAGTTAGTGGTATACTTGCAAAAATCACAATTTATAACTGCAGAAAAGTGGCTTGGAAAATCTTTTATTTTGGAATGGCACTCAATACACGTGTGAATTCCCTGCTGACATCTTATGGAGACAGAGAAAATAAAAATATGTCATACAACAAAATAATGAGATGCTTATTAATAATTAATTGAAACAAAGATTTTAAGATTATCAAAAGTTATTTAAATTTTAAAAATTTGCTGTGAAGAAATAAACTAAAACCGAATGCATAAAGTCTAACATATGTAAAACATTTTGAGCAGCCAAACAATAATTGGTCTAACTTGAGGCCAAAGCCATGAGAGGGAGCCCATGTCCAACACTGCCTGGAAGCCAGGAATTCGAAGTTGGATGGCTTAGAGACCTAGGGTGGAACCAAATATGATTGCTGAATACAAAACAAAAGTCAATGAAATGATTCCTAAGGATACTCTGCTATACTCATAGACTGGAGTCTTGCCCAATCATCATTAGAGAGGCTTCCTCTGACAGCTGATGGGAACGGATGCAGAGACCCACAGCCAGACATTAGGCAAAGCTCAGGGAATCCTGTGGAAGAGGGAGTACAAGATTGTAGGAGCCAGAGGGCTTGAGGACATCAGAACACGATTCATAGAATCAACTAAGCAGGGCCCATAGGGGTTCACAGAGACTGAAGCAGCAACCACTGACTGAGCCTGCATGGACCTACACCAGGCCCCCTGCATACATGCTGTGGTTCTTTAGCTTGGGGTTTTTGTTATACTCCTAACAGTGTGAGTGGGGACTCTCTCTGACTCTTTTGTCTGCTCTTGGGACACCTTTTCCTCCTATAGGGTTGCCTCAACCAGCCTTCATATGAGGGTTTGTGCCTAGTCTCACTGTATCTTGTTATGCCATGTTCGGTTGCTATCACTGGGAGGCCTGCTCTTTTCTGAAGGGAAATGGAGGAGCAGTGGATCTGGGGGAGAGGGGAGGTAAGGGGAGAGAACTGGGAGTGAAGGAAGGGAAACTGTGGTCAGGATTGTATTAGAGAAAAATTTTAAAAAGAACATCAAATGGATATTTAAATTTTGAAAATTTGCTTTGAAGCAATAAGCTAAAACAAGTATAAAAAGTCTTAACACCTATAAATATTTCCCTAGAATAAAAAGGCATATTTAAGCTGGGTGGTGATGGCACAGGGTTTTGATTCCAGCACTTGGAAGGCAGAGGCAGGTGGATCTTAGTGAGTTTGAGGCCAGCCTGGTCCATGAAGTAAGCTCCAGGATAGCCACATGGAAAAAAACCCTGTCTCGAAAACAAAACAAACAAACAAAACCAAGAAAAAGGCTAAGTTAAGCAATTTAATGTTATTAGGTAAAAATACAAAGTTTAAGACCAGTGCAAAAGATTAAAATCACAGCAGTTCAAAGTCTGCTCAGTAGTTGTAAAAAAGGACCATTTTATTATCTTAGTCTTCATAATAGAAAATTGTCATGTAAGTGATTAAGAAGGTTCTGTGACATGGTAAGTCATTAAAATAAACACTTAACTTTTGAGATTAAGTTAGTATGAATGAATAAAAATAGTTACCTCATGTTCTTCAAAGCTAAACTGAATTTGTCTTTCCTGGTGCGCTGTTTCTTGTGCTTGGCTTTGGATTTAGTTGCACTTGGACCTAGTTTACTTGTACTGGGTTTAGATACTGCGGTTAAAACCACCTGAGGCGTACTTATCTTACTTTTACTTTTATTTGCAGGTGCTTTTGAGTTGCTTTTAGTAGTTGTAGACTCTGAAGTTGAGACTTGAAGAGAAGTACTTGGAATAGAACTAGGAGGTGGGCTTGGTGGTCTTGATTGAACAGATCCAAGTGAAGCTCGAATAGTAACCTATGAAAACAAAGGTAGGATGTATTTTTAGATAGCTCAAGTGGCATTAGAAATACCACCTGGCTGGGCAGTGGTGGCCTTTAATCCCAGCACTTGGGAGGCAGAGGTAGGTGGATCTCTGAGTTTGAGGCCAACCTTATCTACAGAATGCGTTCTAGGACAGCCAAGGCAGAGAAACCCTGTCTCGAAAAACTAAAACCAACCAACCAACCAAACACCCCCATCTCCACTCCCCCAAAAAACACACTGCTTGTGGGCTGGAAAGATGGCTCAGAGGTTAAGAGCACTGGGTGCCAGAGGTCCTGAGTTCAACTGCCAACAATCATATTGTGGCTCATAACCATCTGTAATGAGATCTGGTGCCCTCTTCTGGCCTGTAGGCATACATGCAGGTAGAGTACTGTATACATAATAAATAAATCTTACAAAACACTGCCTGAAAGGGCTCACATTTAGTTATCCAATATGTGTAATACGTGTGTTTCCAGAATCCATGTAGGGTGGTAGCTCATAACCACTTGTAACTCATGGTATCTTATGTCCTTGGTCTGACTTCTATAGGTACTAACACACACACACACACACACACACACACACACACACACACACCCACCCCCCCCCACAAAAAAAAAAAAAAAAAAAACAACTTTCACTTTAGTTCTTAACACAGGACACACACAAATTAAAATAGTAATAAAATCTTAACTTTAGTTCTCTAACTTTTTATATTATATTCAATAGATAAGACCAGATAGGGTTTCTTTCTTTCCTTCTTTCCTTCCTTCCCACCCTGCCTTCCTCTTTGAGACAGAATCATGTAGTCCTGGCTGTGCTGGAACTCACTAGTAGATCAGGCTATCTTTGAATTCAGAGACCCACCTGCCTCTGCCTACTGTGTGCTAGGACTAAAAGCATGCACCACCATATCCAGTCCAGGAGTTTATTAGACAAAACGTTAAAATACAATATACTTAATACTCACTTTTGTTCCAGAAGGCAATCCTTCTAAATCTTTAGGCTTTATAAATGTACGATGTTCTAACTTATGATCGGCTTTTTCCTTAGAGGTCAAAAATTGTAGTCTGCATTTCGGGCAACGATGAACTCCTTTATTCTGTTTATAAAAATTATTAGAAATGAAATTAAAAGGTTTTCTTTTCTTTTATCAAAAAGGGTCTCACTATACATCCTCAGATGCCCTTGAAAGTTCTGTATGTGGTAGACTTCATTGGTCTCCTGTGATCCTCCTGTTTCCTCCTCCCAAGTGCTAGGATTATAGGTATGCACCACCACATTCTAGAGACACTAACAACTACCCACCACAAACCCTGAGACCTGAAATTTAACTAACATCTCTATAACTTTAAAAAGTAACTACTTTGCTGCATCCTATCATAGATAATTTTATCATCTCCCTCATAAACAATGCCATGTTTTCCTTTCCGTTTTGGTGCTGGGGATCATACTTAGGCCCTTATGCTACCACTGGGTTATATGGAGCCCTTCATTCATTAACTTTTTTTTGAAGTACTGGAGATGAGTTCTAGGATTTCATGTAGACTTCGCAAATGCTTTATTCCACTTTTTAAAAAAAGGAATGTGTCTTTGAATTTCAGAAGTATTTGTTATGATATAAAGTACCCAACATGAAATTATATTAATTAGAATCTACTAGGAAAAATTATATACCTATTATGGTGTAAAAGCACTTTTGATTACAAATTTGATGTATGAACTATTCACACATGCAAGTTTACAAAAATCAATTGCATTTTATTTTTAGCCTTAGAAAAATGAATTATTTATTGATATCTCATTTGTTGGTAAAACAAAATTAACTTTTAAGACCAAAAAGTCTAGCTGGTTGTAGTGGCACATGCTTTTAATCACAGTCCTCTGAAGGCAGAGGCAGGTGGATCTCTGAGAGTTCACAGCCAGCCTGGCCTACGTAGCAAGTTCCAGGCCAGCCAGGGCTACACAGGGAGACCCTATCTGAAACAAACAAACAAACAGACAAACAAACACCACCAACCAAACGCAAACAAAAAAGTGAAAAAAATCTAACCAGAAACTCTGAAAGTTATGTAATATAAATAGTTCTAAATGGTAGTTCTATGCAACAGAACTTCCTATAGTTACATAATCCATTGTGAAAACTGCCACTTTACAAAGGATGAGAAGTGCAACTGAGTAATTTTATAATTTTAATTTTGGAGGTCTGAACTTAAACAGACACACATCATTAGATGCTATGAGGTTGAGCTGCATGCATATGGAAGCATAAAAGTAATCTTTCCAACTTACTGTTGGATAACCCTTTGACCGAGTTCTCAGACATATTATTACTTTCTTGATATAAAAGAGAACTCTAGGGCTGGAGAGATAGCTCAGAGGTTAAGAGCATTGACTGCTCTTCCGGAGGTCCTGAGTTCAATTCCCGGCCACCACATGGTGGCTCACAACCATCTTGAATGAGATCTGATGCCCTCTTCTGGCCTGCAGGGCACATGCAGGCAGAAGACTGTATAGTTAATAAAAATCTTAAAAAAAAAGTTGCTGGAGCCAGGCATTGGTGGCGCACGCCTTTAATCCCAGCACTCAGGAGGCGGAGGCAGGTGGATGTCTGTGAGTTTGAGACCAGCCTGGTCTACAAGAGCTAGTTCCAGGACAGCCTCCAAAGCCACAGAGAAACCCTGTATCGAAAAACAAACAAACAAACAAAAAGTTGCCGGGAGTTGTGGCACATGCCTTTAATCCCAGCACTCGGGAGGCAGAGGCAGGCGGATCTCTGTGAGTTCGAGGCCAGCCTGGTCTCCAGAGCGAGTGCCAGGATAGGGCACCAAAGCTACACAGAGAAACCCTGTCTCAAAAAACAAAAACAAAAACAAAAAACAAAAAACAAAAAAAGAAAAAGAGAACTCTAGAAAGTCACTTGTTACTTGTTTATAGCCAATTGGGTTCTTTCTATATCTGTTAATTGCAATATTTTTATATATATTCTCATTGATTACACATATATTTATATATAAATTTAAAGCAAAATAAATGAAAATCTTTTTAAAAATAAATCTGTATGTCCACAAGCACTTAAGTATTCTTTGTAAATAAATAATTATGGCAGAAAACCAAAACAAGGTACTATGCACAAAAGTATCTAGCAGTTACTGGTACACAACAGGTAAATGATGGATCAAAGATTTCAGGATTGTTCAGACTGATATACAACATAAATATAAGTGTCTGTTTTACATAATATTCAGTGATGTGATGAATACTTGTAATCTGAATCTTTCATATGTCACAGATGCAAATTTATATATCCTCTAGGAAATAGTAACTTCTCTTTCATGTCCAGAATGGAACAGAGCACTATATGCTGCTATGTAAAAAAGTATTGGTTATCTAACACCACATGATCAGTCCTTAGATCATATACTTACAGGTAACATTACATGGACTGAGCAGGTTATATATTTAGGTAGGTAGGGGTTTGTGTGTGTGTGTTTAACAAGAAAAAGAGGACATGTGGGGCAGTGGTGGCACACACCTTTAATCCCAGAACTTGGGAGGCAGAGGCACGTGATCTCTGCGAATTCAAGGCCAGCCTGGTCTACAGAGTTCCAGGACAGCCGTGCTGTCACACAGAGAAATCCTGTCTCGAACAACCAAAAGGTAAAAAAAAGAGAGACTATGAATTTGAGAGAGAGCAAGAAGGGAAGGTATATGAGAGAAGTTTGAGGGAGGAAAAGGGGGAAATAAATAATAATTTCAAGAAATTATTATATATTTAAAGATCTATTTCTTCCATATTTTTCTAATATCTCAGTGTATGAAAATTCCATTGTTATAGCATCTCATAAAAAAAATCAGACTTGGCTTGGTCACTCTTAAGCTTTTCTCTTTAATTATTACTTATGAGTTATTAGCAAAACGTTTAAAACATTTATCTTTGTATTTTTCATTATCCCCAACTACTGCTACCACCCATACTAGTATAAAGCCATTCACGTGAACTTTGAATTAGGACCCTATCTTCTCTGTTTTTATTCTTTAACCCCTAGTATGGCCATTCCTTTCCATAGAATCACTGCTGGGGTGATCCTATAAACAGTTGCTTAAATCTTCTCTTTCTATTAACACTCAGGAATCCTGATTCTGGCATACAAGGCTTTACTTAATCTGGTTTATCTTCCATTACCAAAACCTCAGCTACTAGTTTTCCTATGGCTGTATTTTCTTTTGTTTTTGGTTTTTCGAGACAGGGTTTCTCTGTGTAGCCTTGGCTGTCCTGGAACTACATCTATAGACCAGGCTGGCTTCAAACTCACAGAGATCTGTCTACCTCTGCCTCTTGAGCTCCCAAGTGCCGGGATTAAAGGCATCCCCCACTACCCCCACCACCACCACCACCACCACCACCACCACCACCACCACCACCCAGCCCTACTGTTTCCTTACTGTGCTCCAATCCTATTAACATCCTTGCTATTACTTCAACATTCCAAATAGATGCTCACCTCACTAGCTAACCTACTTAAAATGTTCCCACTGTTGACAATAGTCTCTTTCTGATGGCCATTTACATACTGCCTTAGCACCTTTGGAGAGGCCCTCTTTGATCAACTCATGTAAAAAAGAGAACCCACTACCTTCACCAAAGATCTGGAATTCACAATCTACCTATATTTTCTTCTCATTGTATTTACTACTAACTGCTATACCTGTAAATTTCATACACACACACACACACACACCTTTACCCATTATAATGCAAATTCCAGAGGGCAAAGGTCGCTTTTCTCACTTCAGCATTCCCAATATCTATATGCTGTAATTTATTTGTTAGCAAGTCAGGCAGCAAGAGAAAGGAAAAATACACATAAGTACTGAGCACAATTCAATGAGTTTAAAATTTCTGCTATTCCATTCAGAGAACATTTTCCTAGAGGCCTGTGTTGGAGATTTTAATCTAATACTCAAATTAACTAAACTTAAAATTTGAATGTTTATATTGTGTGTGTGTATGTTGCAATGTGCTTAGGTTGATAAGGACTTTCAAGGGTAATATTAACCATCTGTAATTTTTGTCTTTCCACCTATCTTTGGGAATTTTGAGTCAATGGTAGAAGTTTAGGCTCTGAATCAATTTTTAGACATCAATTATTGCAGAATGTGATATTGATCAAATTATTCTCTATAAAGGTTTGTTTTCCCTTCTATAAAATGGAAATAACCACACACCAACTTAATAGGATATGCTAAAATAATTCACATAAAAGCATCACTGTTGCTGGCCAGTGGTGGCACACGCCTTTAATACCAGCACTAGGGAGGCAGAGGCAGGCTGATCTCTGTGCGTTCTACAAGTCTACAAGATGTAGTTCCAAGACAGCCTCCAAAGCCACAGAGAAACCCTGTCTCGAACCCCCCGTCCCAAAAAAAGCATCACTGTTTATCATAAGGCAAGTGATTAGTAGTTGATAATTACTTTTACTATTAAGAAGTTAATACAAATATTTAGCATATCTAAAAACTTTAATATTGCTTAAACATTATGTAACCTGTACTAGTTCTAAAATTATTTTTTTTTGGAAAATGTTAAGACCAAAATCTTCAAAGATAATAAACCACAAATTCAATAATTACTAGTGTGTTAATAATGTAATTTCCAAGACTGAGACTGCTTAGCTATGGCTTTTTGGTCTTTTGTGAGCAATCAGTCAAACTGAAAATACCTGATAAGCTTCATGAAAAGATCTTTCTCTTTCCTGATGAATGTCTATCTCTTAGGTATTCTAAACTTACTTAATGGACTGAATGCTTGTCTTATATGAATTCTTATGTGGAAATCCTGAGTTCCAACATTGGGAGACAGAGTATTTGGAAGGTATTTAGATGGAAGCAAAGCCCTCATAAGTGGGATAGTGTCCTTATACAAGACAGGTCTTTTGCCCCTTATGCCACGTGAGGACATGGTGAGAACATGGGTATCTGTAATCAAGAAACAGGCTCTTGCCAGACCCAATTCTGCTGGTGCCTTGATTTCGGACTTTCATATTCAAGAACTGTGAGAAATATCCATTCTTATTTGAGCCAGTTTTTGATAGTGTGTTAGAGACTAAGTGAGTACTCACAGTACATCAGTGATCCCCATGAATACGCCCCAGGTTTGCTGATTCAGTAGTTACTTCCGAGAACCAGAAGCTGCTGTACTCACTTTTGTTATTACAATGAATAGATAAAGAAAAAGATTAAAACTAGAGTCACCAACTTCTAAGTACTCTTAGAATACAGCTGTTATTAATCCACCCCAAATTAACTACTAAAAAGAGAAATGAAACTGTCTAGTGGAACAAAGGGACTAATTAAGAATGGGGGGGGATAGGTGAGAAAGAGGAAGGTAGTGGGGAAGGGGGAGATATGTTTAAAGTACATTGTAGGACTATATACAGACTCAATCTCTCTCTCTCTCTCTCTCTCTCTCTCTCTCTCTCTCTCACACACACACACACACACACACACAAATTAAATTTTGAATTTTAAAAATCAAGTCATTTCTTTTATCAGGAAGTATTTGTAATAGAATTAATTGTTTTAGGGAAATTCTTTACTAGATTTTGTTGCAGGGTGTGGTGGAGCATATCGTCATTTCCTAGTATTTGGGAGTCAGAGGTCGATGACTCTCAATAAATTTGAGGCCAGTGTGGTCTACACTGAGTTCCAGGTCAGTCAGGGCTACATAGTGAGTTACCACAAAAGAGGGAGAGAAGAGGGAAAAGGATGGATGGAGGGAGTGAAGAAGAAAAGACAGGCAGGCAGACACTGTCAGAATTTATTTTTTAAAATAGTAACGAGTTTTTTTTTTTCCCGAGACAGGGTTTCTCTGTGGCTTTGGAGGCTGTCCTGGAACTAGCTCTTGTAGACCAGGCTGGGCTCGAAATCACAAAGATTCACCTGCCTCTGCCTCCCTAGTGCTGGGATTAAAGGCATGCGCCACTACCGCCTGGCTTGTCAGAATTTTTTTAGGGTGAAAGATTGTTTTCCCAGTTAACAAGAAGTTAATTTCATTATTACATAATGACTAGAACCAAAGCCATGTTAAGAGGAGGTGTTGAGGAAGTAAAAGTTTTATAATACATGGTCAATAAATCATCAACTTGTTTTGGCCAAAGATACTGTTTATTGCTCTTTCAAGCATATAATAGACTCACAGTTTAATGAAAGTTTTGAGCCAAAGTCCAGGCTAATGATTAAAAAAAGACTAGCTGAATATAGAACCAGAACTCCAGAGACAGGTACAAGCACTGATACCGGTATCTTAGAAACTATATAGTAGAACTGGCAAAAGTCACATAGGAAGCAAGTTACAACCTCTAAGTACAGTTCCCTGATTTAGTTTACACTCTAGTAATAAGAGTCACACTGGCCAGGTGGTGGTGGCACACATCTTTAATCCCAGTACTTGGGAGGCAGAGGCAGGTGGATCTCTGTGAGTTCAAGGCCAGCCTTGTCTACAGAGCTAGCTTCAGGATAGCCAGGGCTGTTAAACAGAGAATCCCTGTCTCAAAATAACAACAACAACAACAACAACAACAAAACCCCCAAAACAAAGAGTCAGCAAAATGGACTAGCAAGTGGAAAGATATGAAAAACAGAAAAATCACAAGGTCATGAGTCTTTAATATTAGCCTTTTCAGTTCAAATCCTTTCCTTTGCTCTTCAAAATTACCTACTAGACACACTGCCTATGAATCTTGCATGCTAAAATATGCAGCTCATACATTCCTCTCATTTACCCCCTTTCCCTCTCTTCTGTAGTTCCTATTTCTAGTAATATCTTTCATAAACTTCATTGGTTATGGACCTCAGTATTACCTTAAAGCAAGAAAGAAAAATAAGTGGATATTTCATAAATCAGCATAAACTGTGAATTAAACATGTTGTTTGGGACAATTTGGTTTCCTTGTAATACATTTAACTAATGTTGTAACTATGTATATTTTTCAATAAAACAATATGAAGAAATAAAGTCTAAATCTTACCTGATGCTTCACGTAATGATTCACATAAGGGGTTGCCATTCTACTAACTTTGAGACAAAATGGACATAGCAAGTTCTTAGTGTTTTCGTGAGTTAATTTAAAGTGAGTTTCTACATCAGAAAATATTGACGATCTAAATTGGCAAATCTAGAAATAGAAATAAAGTTTAAGTTCAACATAAAATTTTATAACTTGCATACAATTTACATCAAATTAGCAGTGAGACATCATTGGTTTAGAAAAACATCCTGCACTAGAGATATTTCAAACCATAGCTAGACTTAATTGCTCCTTTCAGATCTATCATCCCTTACATTGACTTAAGTTTTCAAGCACTAACATCTCTTATTTTATAGGCTAAGCCAGAGACAATTTATTTTTATGTTGCTTTCTTAATACTGGGAGTCACTTCAAACTCTGGAAAAACTCTGGTCAAAAGCATTTAGTTAACTTCTCTAATATTTCCTATTTCCCCCAAAAGTCTATATTCTTCCCTATATAATAATCCCACTTTTGTCTTTCTCCAATTGGACAATTGTCTATTACAATAGTCAGAGAACTATGGCCAGGAAGGCCGAATTCAGCCTATTACTCCCACAAGCAATGTATGTATTCAACCAAAAGGGAATTTCACTAAATACAGAAGCATTTCAATTTTAGTATACTAATTTTATTTAGTTTATTTGATGTTTCAGAAATTAAAACGAAAAATACTATTTCATGGAATGCAGACATTGAAGAACACACTGAAGCATGTAACAAACTTGTATACCTGGCAAATATATGGCATTTCACCAGGTTTATGAGTGTCCTTCATGTGTTGTAAAAGCAGATGCTCGGTTTCAAAAGACAATTCACAGATTTTGCAAATAGCTGAAAAACAAACATACCATTTTCACATGCATATTAAAACAAGATTCATTTTGAATAATCATAACATCAAGTAATACAGTATCACTACTACCACTACCAGTAATAGGAATAGGTGGTCTTTAAGGTCCCCTCATAATCAGATAATCAAATTTGGTAAAACTGTCACTTACTAGAAAAACCATGAGGAGTGTGTGTACTCTCAATGTGGCACTGTAGCTGGAAGGGGTTGGGATACTGTCTGAAGCAGTGCTGGCACGTAGTATGGCTTTCCCAGGATTCGCTGTTCTGTTTTTCATGTTCCAAGTGGTGTTTCATGTGGTTCATGAACCTATAAATGATAGTAAAACAGATGCAAAAGTACAGATTTATAACAACAAAAGGTTCACAAATCATTAACTTATCCTAAAATTTAAAATGTAGTTGCATGACTGTAATTCAAAATATTGTCTCTATGACCTAAAAGCTTTCTAGAAAAGTGTATACTTATGGTATGGTTGGAATGAGATTGGTCCCCATAGGCTCATGTAGCATGCTTGCTTCCTAGTTGATGGAATTGTTTGGGAAAGATTGAGTATGGCTTTGTTGGAGATGTGCCACTGGGGATGGGTTCAGAGGTTTAAAAGCCCTTGCTATTCCAAGTTAACTTGCTGCCTCTCTCTCGGCCTTGAGATGTCTCAACATGTAAGCTGTCAGCTACTGCTTCATGCTTGCCTGTTTACTGCCAGACTTTGTGCCATGATTAGCCTCTGTAATTGTTAGCCACAAATTAAATGCATTAAATGCTTTTTTTTTTTGGTCTTTCGAGACAGGGTTTCTCTGTAGCTTTGAAGCCTGTCCTGGAACTCACTCTATAGACCATGATGGACTTGAACTCACAGAGACCTGCCTGTTTCTGACTCCCAAGTACTGGGATTAAGGTGTGTGCCACAACCACCTGGCTAAATGCTTTCTCTTATAAGTTGCCTTGGCCATGGTATTTTAAAGTCATGGCAATAGAAAAAAAAAAAAAAAACTAAGACAATACTAGCTCAGCATCCATGTCTGTATAACTAACTACCAGGAGGTTGAGAAAGCAGTATTCATTTGAGGTTATGAGTTTACATCTCATCTGGGAAACATAGTAGATTCTATCACTAAACAAAAGTTGTGTATCTAATCCCAACACTTGGGAGGGGGAAACAGGAGGATCAGAGTATCAAGGTTATTCTCTACTACTCAACAAGTTTGAGGCCAGTCTAAGACACTGACTAAAACAAAGGTTAATTTCACTAAAGGGCTCTTGAAACCTCTTTTCCCATTTCTGTTTTTAAAATAATCCAGTAATATGTCCAATATTAAATATCACTAATTTGCGATAACTATCATAATTTCAAATTTCTAGCTATTGTTGGTAAAAATAAAACAGTAAGCTTCTTTTCTATATATATGAAATATTATTTATATTGACTTTCTATGTACCAATCCTGGCTGTCCTGGAACTTGCTTTGGAGATAAGGCTGGCGACTGAGATCTGCCTGTCTCTGTCTCCCAGGTGCCGGGATTAAAGGTATACACCACTATGCCCTGCTCTATATTTCAAAATAAAATACTTAGAGAAGGCAATCTGGCATCAAAGGCAGCATAACTTATACATTTCCTCAAGGTGGTAAATGAATTGCTTTTAAAATGCTTGAAATAAAACATGTTGCTGGGCAGTGGTGGCACACACCTTTAATCTCAGCACTTGGGAGGTGGAGGCAGGCAATCTCTGTGAGTTCGAGGACAGTCTGGTCTACAAAGCTACACAGAGAAACCCTCTTTCAAAAACCAAAAAAAAAAAACCCAAAATTATTGCCTATAATTATGGTTTGTTTTATTTAATGATACTGGGTTACTGTTGTTATAACTACCTGCTACAGTTTGAATCTGAAGTATTCCTTGAAGGCTCATATATTGAGGGCCTAGATATCAGATAACAGGCTTTTTGGGAAGTGACTGGATCCTGAAGGCTCTGATCTAATCAATGGATTAATTCTTTGGTGGAGTCTTAATATGATACATAGCATTACTGGGAGGTGAGCCTAGCTGAGAGAAGTAGGTCATTGGATATAGGTCCTAAAATGATGCACCCTGTCCCTGGCATCTCCTTTGCCTCCTGGATACCAGAAAGCAAACAACTTTCCTTCACTATTCCCTTCCTCCATGATGTTTCTGCCTTTTGAAAGGCATCAGCTAATCATGGATTGAAACCTCTGAAACCATGAACCAAAACAACCCATTCTTCCTTAAAATCATTTCTCTTAGATATTTGCCACAATGTCAAAAATTGTAAATACAGCTGGAGAAATGGCTCAATGATTAAGAGCACTGGCTGTTTTTCTTTATGACCGGAGTTCAATTCCCAGAACCTACATGGCAGCTCACACCTGTCTGTAACTTCAAGATCTGACACCCTCACACAGACATACATGCAGGTAAAATACCAATTCAAATGAAATAAAAGTTAAAAAAAACCAAAGATTCCCGGAAACTTTAAAAAAAAAATACAATGTTAATGCTTGTAACACCTTCCATTTAGTTTTACACTGTTAGTTCAGCTTCTTCTTTTTTTTTGTTTTTTTTCCAAGACAGGGTTTCTCTGTGTAGCTTTGGAGCCTATCCTCGATCTGGAGACCAGGCTGGCCTCGAACTCACAGAGATCCGCCTGCCTCTGCCTCCCGAGTGCTGGGATTAAAGGCGTGCGCCACCACCGCCCAGCTTAGAACCTACTTTTTCTAGAATCCAACAGACTGAAGACTAGCAGTTCTTTAGGATTTCCCTAGGACTCTGGCATCTTGCTTGGGGACTGCTGAGACATCCAGTCTCATGGACTAAACAACTACCAAATCCTTGGCCTTTCCATCAAAAGATAGCCACTGTTAAACTACTTGGACCACAGCCTGTAAACCACTCTAACAAACCCTCTACCAATATACATATATTCATGCTATCAGTTACAGAACCTAATACAGATTGGAATGTGATGGTCTAAATGAGAATGGGCCCGATAGGCTCATATGTTCCAATACTTGTTCCCCAGTTGGTGGAATTGTTGGGAAAGGATTAGAAGGGATGTGTAAGTGGAGGCAGGCTTTAAGGTTTCAAAGCACTCTGGTCATTCTCAGTGTTTTGATCCCTCTCTGCCTCCTCCTTGTGGATAATGATGTGAGCTTTCTGCTGGCTTGCTACCATGCCTCTGTTTCACCATCATGGTCTCTGACCCTTTCAAACAATAAGCTCAAATTAAACACCTTCTTGTATAAGTTGTCGTGGTCATGGTGTTTTAATACAGCAATAGAAAAGTAATGCAGTGAAGTGGAAAATATGTCATTTTCCTTGTAAGATACAGTAAATATTCTTGTCTTTATCTGAAAAAAAAAAAAACTATAGCTGGGTAGATCCAGGTATCAAACTTTGAAATACAAGAAAAATAAAAAAACTTTCTGTTGTGGAATATTATTTTAATTGGACAAAGATGTGTTAAATTCATTATGCTGCAGAACACTACGTTAACTGTGTAAAGGTGTGTTACCTTTCTTTTTGTTGCTTTTGTTTAATTATGAAAAGATATATTGCTGTTTCACTTTGTCTGCCTAAGGCACTTAATTGATCTAATAGGCAGGAGAGGGATAGGCAGGGCTTCTGGGCAGAAAGAATAAATAGGAGAGGAAGAAAAAGAAGAGCATAAGGGAGAATGAGAGAGGCACACCGGGGTCAGCCAGGCAGTCAGCCACCAGCCAGCCAGCCAGAAGAAGCAGTGAAAATGAGATATAAAGAAAGGAAAGAAAAGGTAAAAAGCCTCAAGGCTAAAGGTGGATAAAGATAAACAGGTTAATTTAAGTTAAAAGAGCTAGCCAGAAAAGAGCCTAAGCTGGGTCGAACATCCTCTCCGGGCCATGATTTGGGAGCTGGTTGGTGACCCTAAAGAAAAAGCCTGGTACAATTTTCAGCATAACAAATAGCCTTTCTTGGTAGAAGTATTACAATGGTTTACGTATGATAACAAAGAAAAATAAAATGTATTTACATTAAAAAGATCAAAATGAAAATTATCATTTAATATTCAAACAAGTAAGAAATATTTACATACCTAATATTATTTTTAAGAACTTTTGAGCAACTGAAGCATTTAAAAGTTGTGTAGGTCTTCAGTTCTTCCTCAATAAATCCGTCATATCTTCCATAATAAAAATCACCAACTAGCATGATCAATTTGTCTTTCTCTGAGGTAATTCTAGATTTTTTTTCATCTCCTGAATGTTTCTCCATAAATTTATCAATCATATCTGGGCAGCAGCGCTGAAAGAGGAGAAAAAGCATGTTTTATTTGTAACTCATAAAAATCAGCTGTCAAAAATAAGTTCTATATTTACAATAGGTTCAGATCATATAAAGCTGTTGCAAAGCTAAACAAGGAAACCCTGTCTCATAAAAAAAAATGAAAGAAAGATATCCACCAAAAACAATGGCTTCCTTCCTTATAAACTGCAAAATTCCAATAACAAACACCACTTGGGAGATACTATATTAAATGAAATAGGTCAGTAACAGGACAAATAAATATTTCATGATTACACTTACACAAGAAATGTACAATGTTCAAAATAATACTAGAGAGTAGAATGCTGAGTGCCACAATCTGGAGAAGTAGCAAATGGGGTAGTACTACTCAATGGATATATAGGTTTATTCAAGATAAATAGGCCCTAAAGATTTACTGTACAACATTTAACATGCATAGCTGACAACACTGAATTGGAAGTTTAAAAATTTGTTAAGAGGATAGATTTTATGTTGTTATCACAGAAAATGCAAATGGATAGGTGGAAGTTTCTGAAAGTGGTGTACGCTTATGGTTTCACTGATTTCCACACACCTATACTACCAGTTAAATCTTTTTTCTTTTAAAAATTTTTTATTTATTTTACATACCAACCACAGTTCCCCCTCCCTCCCCTCTCCCTTCCCCCTACTCTCCTCCATCTCCCTCTATTCCCCATCTACTCCTCAGAGAGGGTAAGGACTCTCATGGAGAGTCTCAACTAAGCCTGGCATATCAAGCTGAGGAAGGACCAAATCCTCCCCCCCCCTCCAGTATCAAGGCTGAAAAAGGTAAATCTACATCAATGACTGCAAATAGGTTTAACTAAACTCCTGAAAGAAAAGAGATTTCACATATGGTTAGAAAGAAAAAGTAACACACATAAAAGTTAGAACACAGAAACAATAAAGGGCTTTGGAAATAGTGAAAATAAAAGGATGAAATAAGAATATAGCAAGCAGCTGGGTGAGGTGGCACATGCCTTTAATCCCAGCATTTGGGAGATGGGGGCAGGTGAATCTCTGAGTTCAAGGCTAGTAAGGTCTACATAAATAATCCCAGAACTGACAGGGCTCCATAGAGACCCTGTCTCAAAATACGAATAAGTGAATAAATGAAGGAATTTAGCAAGCAAATGGAAAAAAGAAAAATAAGGATTATGAGGGCTGGGGAAATGGTTCAGTGGGTAAAGAATCTTTTGGGCATGGGTGAGAACCTGACTTTGGATCTCCAGAATCCACAAAGTGGAAAGTGCACATTTACACTCAAACACACAAATGTGCACAGACATAAACAAATAAAGGATAAGGAATAAGTAAATGATTAGATTAAATTAAAATGGAATTTAGGCCAAAATGTATCAAACAAAGCAAAAGGACACTTTATTTAAAATGCCAGTGAAGTTATGAGAGAGAGATAGAGAATTATATCCTAAAGAGAATACAAAATAGAACTGTCAAATATCAAAAGAAAGTACTGATGATGTGAGACTGGATTCACTATTCTCACATGCTCAGGGAGCTGCATGGACTAACACAGTATCAGTTTTGCTCCTAGAACATGTATTTGTATTTGAAATTTTGGGAACTCATTCTTACTTCTCTACTTATCCCCAAGATTCAGGATTTAATAAAAATCTGTCTTTGGAACAGTGAGCAGAATCTTTTCCTAAGATGTCTCTCTGTATTATCTCTATCCTTTTTTGCCACATGTCATCTATCTTACTGTTTTTCTTGTCTCCTTTCTCACTGCCATTTACATGGGGCAGGCAAATAGAAGACTATCTTTTTAAAGATTCAATAGAATGCTATATTATCTAGTAACATACTTTAAGCAGAAATCCCATACTTTTTTAGTAGCTTCAAATTAATCTAAAACCTAAGTTCAGGAGCTATAAAGTGCATAAAGCTATAATTCATTTATAACTCTATATATCCTATTCTGGATTGAGTTAAAACTATCATTTTGTAAGAAATGCTCCATTAGGAAATTGTGGAATATTAAGACATAAAACTAAGATTTCCATTGAGAAATATTAAATAGATATGAGAACATGGAAACAAGAAAAATATAAGGAAATTTTAGGTTACATTGAAGATTAACAAAATGTCTGCTTTAAGAGAAGTATAAAGAATGATATGATTTAGTCAATAAAACATTAGTTTATTAATTTTCAATTAAAATTAAAAGGCAATGCACATATACTATGGAGTATGCATGATCACATACTATAGTGTATATATGATGAAATTAAATTTTAAAACTCATGATTGGGAATAATTTAAATCTTATATAATCACTATGAAAATTTTTTACTCATGAAAATGACAATAAAAGCTTTATTATTTAAATATCTAGACAAAAATTTATTCTCTATTATTCTTACTATTTCATGGATTTGTAAACATTTTCAAAACTCAACATTTGAAACTATTTTACCTTCATGTGGTATTTCAAAGGATCCAAATAACTGAACTTAACTTTGCACTTTGGACAACATGTTAGTGAAGATGCTCCAGTTTTAGACTGAATTGATGAGGTATATTCATCTAAAATAAATTGAGGACTTTTATGAGTGAAAATCAATCTTTTAAAAACTTAAACATCTATAAAAATCATCACAGTTATTGAAATTTTCTAACACATTTTTCTAAGTGAGATTTCATACTTACTTGATACAACAACCTGTGTGAAAGCACTGGAAGGAGATGATGAAGAGGAAGGAGTTGTTTCAGAAACACTTGCGTTGGTCTTTGGCTTTTTTGGATTAACACTGTTGTCTTTGGAAGTGGAAGGATGTTTTAATCCTAATGAAGTTTGATCGATACCTACAAAGATTTGAACACCAGGGAAGATATTTAAAATGCTTTAGTATAGAACATTACTTATGTAACTTGCTATAAAATGGCCTTAGATTTAAAATTTATTAAAAATGCCTTGGAGCTAACTTAAGTGAAAAAAATTATATAGTCAAAAAGCAGAAACTAGACAAAAAAGCAGCTTCAATGGATCATATATATATTTCAGATTCACAAAGTAAAATTTGTACAAGAAAACTATAAAGATACTTTCAAATAAAGCTCTCCATTAAAGGAGGCAGGCTGAGTAAAAATGAAAAGTATAACTCCCACAAAACCCAAAGCAACAAAAATATAACAAAAAGAGGGAGAGAAAAAGAAAGGTAGATTACTTTCTCTTAGCTAAGTTCTTACAAATGAATTTATGTTTTAGAGATTAAATACATTCAAACATAAAAAATACTCATTCTAAAATTCAGGAGAATAAAAGTTTTTTAAAATTTTGAGCTATCCAATGAAAGTTGAATTTGATCTTCTCCCAACTAATAATATGACAAGCTGTTTAAATTATTTGGTTATTCCTTATGTAGAAAGTGGAAACAAAAATGCTTCAGCCATTCATATGAAAAAATCTAGAATTTCTACAATGACCTTCCAACTACTATCCTGAGTTGATCTGTTTAAGAAACAGGCACAGACCCAGAAAAAATGATTTTGTAAAATAATCCAAAATAAATTGTACTTTGTGACAAACGCTCTAAAACCACACATGCTCTCAAATGTACATTCACAGGAGAAGCAGTAGACATATTTTTTTGAAATACTTATGCTGTTTCATTCTTTTCGATGACAGAATTCTTTTTCCTATCATTAGAGGCTATGGTTACTGAATGATTACTGCCAGCACTTGAGACTGACTTTGGTTTTGTTACTTTTTGTTTTTTAAGATGCCGGTGTCACTTGAATAATCAATAAATTTTGGCATTTTGCACTAGGTAACATTATACAATATGCTAGGTTATAAAAATAGACCATTTTAATATAGCTTTTAAGGATTTCTTTTTATTATATTTATGTGCATGTATGTTTGTGCATCTCTGTGAATGTATGTTACATGCATGCCTGTAGAGCCCAGAAGGTGTCAGATCTCCTGGAGCTGGTGTTTGTGTATCTCTGTGAAAGTGCATTGCATGCATGCCTACAGAACCCAGAAGAAGGTGTCAGATCTCCTGGAGCTGGTGTTTGTGCATTTCTGTGAATGTATGTTACATACGTGTCTGCAGAGCCCAGAAGGTGTCAGATCTCCCAGAGCTGGAGCTCCAGGTGGTTGGGAGCCACCTAACAAGACATGGGTGGACGGAACCAAGCTTAGGTCCTTCAGAAGAGTAGCAAGTGCTTTTAACTGCTGAGCCATCTCACCAGTTTCCTAATATATAACTTTTGAAGCACAGGAATATCTAAATTAGAGTTTTAAATACTGATCCTTCAAGTTATTAACTTTCATTGCTTTGGTCTTTTTCCCTTCTTTCAAGCCTTCCTATTTACACACATAAAAATGAGCAGGTAGCCGTAGTTATATCCAGTGGGTCACACAGCAAAAGCAAAAAGAAAAACAAAAGACAGAAAAGTGGGATGGGGACTTGGTTCGAGGACTGGGGGTTGGTGAGAATGGGACAGGTATGGGGTGGGGGAATGAGTGTGGTCAGAATGCATTACGTATATGTGTTAAACTGTCAAAGAAAAAATTGATGAAAAAGAGTCTTTCAAAATTATTAATCTTTGAAATGAAGTCCCACTTTGTAGCTCCAGCTGTCCTGGACTTTGCTATGTAAACCACACTGGTTTTGGACTCACAGCAATCCGTATATCTCTGCTGAGAATAAAGACATGCACTACCATGACTGGCTAAAAAACAAAAATCTTACTCTCATAAAAATTCTATTTCCCAGTGGGCAGTGGTGGTGAATGCCTTTAATCCCAGCACTCAGAGGCAGAGGCAGGTGGATCTCTGCGAGTTCAAGGCCAGCCTGGTCTACAGAGTGAGTTCCAAAACAGTCTCCAAAGCTACAGAAAAACCCTGTGTGGAAAAACAAACAAAAAATTCTATTTCCCTTCTATTTCCCTTTCAAGTTCAAATCTAATTTTCTCTAAGAACCTTCCATGGTCATCCTAGACAAGACGTGCTTTCAAACAAATCACTGATTAATCATCATTATTATAAACTTTAATAAATCATTCAAAGTTTATAAAACAACTTTCCCTTTTCTTACTTTGGCAAACTCAACAAAATCCTAAAATGAGTAACATTATCTCCAAATGGCTCACATTAGGTCTAGAGAATGAATGCATTATGTGAGAAATATATAAAATATATATAAAATATAAAATAATATTTTAATAATATCTGTAGAACAGAAGTTTAAACCTGAATCTTCTAATCCAATGTTACCAGTGTTTACTATTCAGGACAAAGCTCTCTTCTCTACATTTGAAAAACCTTTTGTTACTCAAAATGCAGAGATGGGGATCTCTGTGAGTTCAAGGCCAGCCTGGCCTACTGAGTGAGTTCCAGGACAGCCTTCAATGCTGCAGAGAAACCCTGTCTCAAAAACCAAAAATTAAAAAAAAATCTTTTGTTGAGATAGAGTCTTAACTAGCCCATGCTGACCTTGAACATGCTGTAGCCAAGACTGGCCCTCAGACTCCTGGTCCTCCTGGCTCCACTTCCCAAGTGGTGGGATTTCATGCATGTGCCACCACACTCAGCGCAAGTTTTTAAAATAATGAGTAGGTGTTACTGTCTTTAACTTTCAGAAACTTCACAAATTGAGACTTATTTTAGGAATGAGATCATGTGCTTGGTAAAATCAAATTTAAGACAACTATTTTATTTCCCTATCCATTTTGGTTCTTGGTTATTTTGCTAACTGGATCTAGGTTAATATCAACTGAAGTATATTTAGCAAAGTGAGAAAATATTTTGGACATTCAAACCACTACAAAACTTTTCCTTTAGTTTGATAAATGTAATATACTACTTACAAGTAAATAAAAATTCAGATGATAATTATGTTCCTCTCTAGTGAGTGTATCAAAGTATATCTTGCTTTGTGAGTGACTTGCAGTGGCAGCACATACTACACTAGAGAAAATACTTTATTCCATTTTCCCACTAGCATACTAATTTACATCCACAAAGAAGTTTTTCATGGTAAAAATTTTTTTAAATGAATTTCCTTTCAATTGTCCAATTTCTATTCCTTCAATGGGTATATACTACGTCATGTGCAAATCATTATCTCTTTAGTCTTGTCATTTTATAATACCACCCCTATTATCACATTTAACTATCTCATATATGTATGTATATATGTATGTATGTTTTTATTATATAGAAAGTTTACTAGGAAATAAACTAAAGCCATGCAATTTTATAAATTAATGGACTCCAAATAATAAATACATTGTTATAGAGTATTTAAAAGTCATCAGGTCACTTCTCTGACTCACAGAAATTATATTAAGATTTCATAGCTTACAGGTAGTTCTAAATGAGAATAAGCTCAGCTAGGTATGGGGTGGTCTTTAATCCCTGCACTCAGGAGGCAGAGGCAGGCGGATCTCTTTGAGTTTGAGGCCTGCCTGGTCTACAGAGTGAGTTCCAGAACAGCCAGGACTACACAGACAAACCCTGTCTCAAAAAAAATCGAACAGAAAGAAAAGAAATAAAAAGAGAATTAGCTCAAGTAGCACATACTAGCTAAACCAACAGACATGAAAAGCATTCAGGATGATTACCTCAATTTACATCTTATGCAAAAAAGTAACACGAAAGCACCAATTTTAGAAGAGAATTTTAAAAATGAGTGTGTATTATGTGGGTGTACCTGTGGAGGGTAGAGGACAACCTGCCAGAGTCAGTTCTCTCCTCCTATAGTGTGGGTTCAAAGATCATACTCTGATCATTAATGGCTTGGTGGCAATTGCTGAGCCATCATGCTGGCTTTTAAATCTTTATTAATTTGTTTGTTTAATGTGCATCTGTGCATGGCATGGAGATGATTCTCTACTTTTACTATGTGGCTTCCAGGGATCCAACTTAGGTTATCAGTTTGGCAGTAAGCACCTTTACCTGCTGAGCCATCTTTAGAGATTCCATATGAACATTAACTAAGTTAAGCAATTCTAAATCAAACCTTCTGTACTCTTTTTCAGTATGCTGGAGGATGGTGTATCAATGGTTGAGTCTAACTGTAAGACAGAAGAAGCACCTGGATCATCTTGTGAAGAAGTCTTTGAAAAACTCTGTAAAATGTTAAAAGTTATTTTGTTTGTTAATTATTAGAGAAGTAAACCAAACTGTATGCTAGCACGAAAAAGACAAGTTAGAAAACACAAAAGCATATTGGCATTCATTATTTTTGTAATTTTTCTGGAAAACTAAAAATAGCTGTAAATAAAATGTTAAAATAAAAAAAAACACTGACAGCACTGGCAAGGCTTCATTTTTGGTATGCACGTACTCCTCTGCATGAGCATTTTAGCAGTATCTACTAAAGGCTTTGATATAATCATTCCACTTCTAAGACTTTATATTAAGGAAATGAAAATGTTAACAGAGTATTTGTAATAGAAAAATATGAAAATCAGATAATCCAACAACAGCTGAATAATAAATTCTCAATAAAAAATTCAGTGAAAAATGAGTAATAGCTGTCAAATCTGTGTAAATATGGCCCTGAATGACAGACTAGACTATTTAAAGAAAATAAAAATCAAAATATAAAACATATTTCCTAATTTCTAAT